ATTTTTTTTTCTCCTTGAGCTCTGGTGGTGCGAACGCTTCAAGGAACAGTTGGGTTGAGTTGGGTTTAGTCTTGAAGAACAGTTCCAACCAAAAGGTAGTTGCTTCTTTCTTTGTGCATTTGTTCTGTGTATTTGTCCAGTCGCCCCTTCACACCCGTGTCGCGGTGTTGCACAGGCGCGGAATCCAGGATTAGGGAGATGTCGTAAAGCGGAACCGGGCCCAAGAGGCCACGTGTCAGAAGTCTTTGCTCCCCATGAGTTTGCTTGGGATGTTGTTGGGATTTTGAAGCCCCAGTATCTGTTCAAAACCAAGCTTCGGGCTTCAGGTTTCAGGTTTATCGTTTCAAGTTCTGGAAGAAAAACAATTAGTTAGTTGGTAAGTCAATTGATTAGTTGATTAATGGGTACCCAGGCCATGGGTGCTGGATGGGATTTGCAAGCGGTTTCTCGCTCCATTTTCGGGAAGCAAGGCAACTATGCATCCTTCATGCAGCAGAAGGAGACGAAGATGCTGAACTGGCGGAAGAAGTGGGAGCTCCAGGCGGTTCGGATCGAGCCGACCGGCGAAACTGATTCCATCATGTCGTTTCTCAACACTACGACCCTCCAGGTGGTTGGTTTCTTCAAAATCATCCAAAGCCGGTTCACCTATTTTGAGACAGACCCAATGGTGTGCCCACGTAGGAGACACTCAACATGGTGGTCTTCCTTTTGGTTTCCCAACAAACACCGAGGGCAGGGGTTCCCTCGAGTAACAGAAAAAACTAGACCCATATACGATCGTACCTGAGGGTCGAAAGGGGGTCGTCACAACCTTCTCACCTTTCTCACCCCGTGCTCGAAGTCGCACCGCCTTCAGGAAAAGAAGCGGAAGGAGATTGAGGCGTATATCAAGGCAAACCGAGGCGGCAGACCCAAACGGTGGTGGTTGCAATCAGTGTCCGTGTGGCTAAATCATTGGTTTGATCATTTGTTTGTTCAGTCACTTGCATATGTGTGCGTGTCCCTTCTTCTTACTATTATTGTTCTTCTTCTTGTTATAGCTGCTGCTGCTGCTGCTGCTGCTGCTGCTGCTGCTGCTGCTGCTGCTGCTGCTGCTGCTGCTGCTGCTGCTGTTGATGTTGTTGATGTTGTTGTTGATGTTGTTGATGTTGTTGTTGTTGTTGTTGTTGTTGTTGTTGTTGTTGTTGTTGTTGTTGTTGTTGTTGTTGTTGTTGTTGTTGTTGTTGTTGTTGTTGTTGTTGTTGTTGTTGTTGTTGTTGTTGTTGTTGTTGTTGTAGTTGTTGTTGTGGTTGTTGTTGTTGTTGTTGTTGTTGTTGTTGTTGTTGTTGTTGTTGTTGTTGTTGTTGTTGTTGTTGTTGTTGTTGTTGTTGTTGTTGTTGTTGTTGTTGTTGTTGTTGTTGTTGTTGTTGTTGTTGTTGTTGT